GTAAACAAGCAATTGTTTATATGCCATCCTTCACCTTCTGCATTCTGGAACACTTATACCTATTTTAAGACAGACTGCTGGAGCAAAAAGACACATTCATCATGGCTTTTAGAAAGCTTATTGTTGCAGGGCAATATTTTAGACCTGTGGAGCCTCTCTATTTTTTAAAACTCTCAACATACTTATAACCAATGCAAATACATTTGAAGCTCTTGCTTTTGCCCCACGTTGATCACATCCCTATTTCAGGTTCCTTTAAAATGGTGCTCTGTTGGTCATAATGGTTCAAGGAGTGACTGATGTGAGCTGGGAGCAGCATCCCTGGTGGCAAACACAGACCTGGCCATTCCCACTCTGCACTCAGAGCTTTCAGTCTGGGCCTCCACAGAGCTTGGAGAACACCAGCCCATCTCCCCCAGACACCCACTGCAGTACCAAGAACAACCATGGGCTGATTTTGTACAACTGAGGGAATTCTGCCTTGTCAAGAGGAAAAGGAGGCGAGGAGAGGGGAGGGGGAAAAAAAAGACAAAAAAGGTATAAAATAAGGAGAAAAAGAGAAAGATAAGATAGATGAAAAAAAGAGAAAAAGAAGGAAGGGATAAAGGAAAAAGAGAAAAAGAGGAAAAAAAGAAAGAAAAAGAAAAAGGAGAAAATTAAAATTTTGTTAAAAAGAAGAAAAAAGTAAACATTTTTATTAAAAGTTGGCTTTAAAGTATTACTGGCAGTTAAAAATGATCTAGTAATTAAACAAACAAATATATATATATATATATACAGGTATTAGGACAATCTTCTTACATTCCCTGGGAACTGTTTACAACTGAAACAAACCAACAGCACTTTACCTTTATCTCAAACCAGTTCGAATTAGGATGACTCAAAATGTGTCTATGAATTCACAATTTTGTTCTATGATGTTGCAAAGACCTTGCCAATTAACACAAGAAGCTGGACAAAGCTTTAGGAAGATGCACTCTCAACATTTTTCTCACTGGTCAGGTTATTTACCCTCTCTAGAACTACCCCATAAAGACAGGACACAATTTTAATGTCAGCATAATTAATATATTTCCAAAGTGTTGGCTCCCACGTCACATGAAATTGTCTTTCAGAGATGTCTTCTTACTCTTTTTTTCACACTACAGTTTTACACTAACTGCAAAATTACCATCATTAGGGCACCTAACTATATTTTCCCAATGTTTAAAAATGGTTGAATGAATCACTAAAAACTCTACTAGGCAGACCAAAGCATCTGCAGAAAAGCCATCATTCTTATTAAATTCTATTGAATTGGTTCCAAAACAATGAGTAATCTTTATGAAATAGATTGGTACTTTAATGTCTGCTAATCAAGTTTGCACCTAATATTCCAATTGATTGTCAGGCTTTGTCACCTTCTCACCTGTATCACTGACTGTCTCAGTGTCAGTCCTGAAAGGACTGACATAATGTGAGGTATTTTCATCACTAAAAATTACTTCTGTTTTAAGCTGAAACAACATTGTGTGTGCCACACTGCCTCAGTGCAGAGTTGCAGATATGTAGGATAGTCATGTTATAACTCTGTCATGTTTCAGAACCGCGAAGTCTACATTCAGAATGAGCAGGACAAAAATTAATAAATCTTCTTTTTTTTCCCCCCTTATATATTTACATATTACTTTGATGAATCTGAAAGAAATGCAAATCAGCATTTCATATAGAAAGTGCCACACTCAGCTTCACACCTGATTCTGTGGCCAGGAAATGCTTGATATTCCATGATCCTCCCCATGGCTGAGCTGCTGCTGTCATACATGATGGGGAGGTGCGTAAGAGCTTGTGGTTGTTAAAAGGCTCCCAGCAGCCCTGTTTGGGGAGCACAAACTGCAGTTTCCAGGCAGCATTACAGAAATCCACGAGTACTTGCCATTAATCACAAAATCTCCTATTCCAATAGGAATTTTATAGTCAATTGTGAAGCATTAAAAGTCAACTGTTACCAGCATCATGGTTACTTAGAGTCACTTTCTTGAAGCTAACAGTGCACAGCAATTCATGCTTAGAGCAGAAGAATGACCTGTTTTGGGGTACAGGAAGGTTGCTCTGCAATCTTTTAAGCTTATTTTGATGTACACGATGGCTTCATTGAAGTCAGTTGAGGATCAAGGTCTGCACAAATTCCAATACAGTTTCATACAGAAGACTACAAAGGAAGGGCTGTAGGGAAGACTAACAGTAAATGTTGCATATATCACAAAACTAGTAAGTAGGTGGTTGTCTTTGAACTTACTGTGAGAGAATACATTTTATATCAACAGCCATCAGTGACAGAAAGACACAAATAAAAATACGTGGTAATCACTGCCTACTGAAAACAGTTGTTTTCAAACATCTGCTCTCTCACTGAACTGCTTTACAACACTGTTTTGACATAAATATCTCTCCAACATCTTTTATCTCATAGACTTCTTTTAATAGTTTTCTGAAGTGTATTTTAAGTACTTGGTGCAATTAGTAAGCCTAGTTAAGCCTTATTTGTACACTTGATTTCCTTTACCCAGTGCTGGCAAGTCCAAACGACATTCACTGCTATGGAGTGAATAGCATAAACATGAGGTAAAGCTTTAGACAGTTGAATTCTACACTGAACCCTTATGATGCCACAAAAAACTATCAGCTACTGTGCAAACAAAGAAGCAAGCACAGTATGAAAAAGAGTAGCCTACCATCTTAAATATTTCCTGTACACTCCAAAGACAAGTCCTAGACTTTCAATAATGTATGGCATGACTATTCTATTTTTGCTCTACACAGCCTTGATTCTACAGGTAGAGAGACTGGTCTGCCCAGAAATAACATTATCTGATGTTTCAATGACTAACAGATTAGTTTATAATAATCTTGTAGATCATGAAGAATGAGCATCAGGCTGGATTAAGTAGGACTTGTTTGACCTGTTCAGCTAGAGGTGGACTCTGACAATTTAATTCCAGCTTGCCGTGTGAAGCAAAAGGCTCATCCAGAAAACTGTGAGCCCTATGCCTATTTTCCTACTTAAAATAATTTTCAGGGTATATTTTTCTATATAAGCAACTCCTAACTAAATAACAGTTGTCATCTCCAACTACCTCAAATCAAGAGCTCATTACTGCGTTTTCCACTTTTATTCCTAACTTTGACCTTGGAACTACTCCTAAGACAGTGAGCAGTAATTCAGGCTCCTGACTACCTCATTCTAAGAGGATCTCTCCTGAGAGCAGGCTGCTAAAGGCAGTTTTGTATTTGACCCAGTACTAGAACAACAAACTCCATTTCAGTTTGAGTTACAGTTTGGGTTTGGTCCAGGACTACAGATGGCATCAAATGCAGTTTTCTTTCTTGTAAAATCACATATCAGCAGCCTTTCTACCTTGGGGAAGGTGGCATTTTCAAATGTGCTCATCACTGATTTTCCTCTCCTTCTTCCTATGCATTTCATATTGGAAAAAAAAGGGGGAGGGGTGGGGAGAGGATGAACACAACAACATCCAAATGTTTCTTAAAACTGAAAAATTAAAAAAGAGAAAGAGGATACCTGAACTAGCGTTAATCCTATTGATGGTGCTCAAACAGGTAACCTTTTCAGGTCTCAAAGTTTCTTTCAGCATAACAACTATTTGGGAAAGAAACCTTATCATTTCTGCAGTTAACAGGGAGAGCTTCAGTAACTTAAATTGTTATAGCATTCTATCACTATTTCTTGAAAACAATATATAGTAATGTATTTGAGAAGTCCAACTTATTTTAAGATTATATAGAATTCTGTATTCAAAATGACTGCATCATTTGCTATGAATAAATTACTCTGTTTCTCTTGTGCTATACACAACAATTCATACAAGCATCACCATGAACAATTCATGACTGGATTCACAGATTGTATAATGTTCCTTTCCTGTGAACGGGTAAATGAACAAAGAGATTGGTTAACTAGTATCTTGTGTTCAATCAAAGAGTCATTGATCTAGGGAAAGTATTTTTCTATTTCTGTTTAGTTAGAGTGACAAATCTTAATGAGACTATGTTTAAGCTGACTTAAAACTGATTTATACTGAATTTTTAAAATTTGATTAGTTACTATGTACACAGATAAGGAATGAGACCCAGTAATAGATATTTGTGCCTGACTGTGATCCCATAATACCACGGACTTATCAGAGTCAAGTTTGATTTCAACTGCAGCAGTGGGCAAATGAAGATGAGGCCCCAGACCATAACATGCTTTATACGTATGTATATATGTATGTGTGTCTGTGTGTATACATATATATTTGGTTATACAAATATGTATTTCCATTAATATCCCTCCTACTACATTCCGCTGTCAAGGGAAATTCCCCTCTTCAGAAGCTGGACTCGATGATCATTGAGGATCCCTTCCAACTCAGGGTATTTTATGATTTTATGAAATCAAATGTAGGAAATGGAAATTTCCCTTCACCTAAAACATTACAAATTTGATGGGTTTGAAATAATTTAGGTAATTGTCTTGCAAAGATGGCTAAGTAACATAATGGTCTACCCCACAAATTGGTACATTATTCACACATTCAGCACAATTTGTACAGCAGAGGTTGTCAGCAGTCAGGCTGGATGCCTAGTACAGAAAGCTGTTTCCAGGAGGGCAGGTGGTAGCAGGAAGGATTTATGCAGTCCTGGCCTGTCTGATGGAGGAACAGAGACTGAGAATGCGTGACAGTAGACGAGAGCCCCATTGCTACCATTCCACTACCTTTCTCAAACTGAGCCAAGGAGGTCCCCTCCCCACCTTCTCCACCAGGCTCAAAGCTGCTGCCCCCACAGCCCGATCTGGTTGTCCCTTGTAAACCCACTTTGGTCCTCTGGCAAAGTACACAGTAGGTTGTACTGGGCTGTAGGGTGACTGATGGATCTGCAGTCGTCTCCATTCACTTCATCCCTGCATGACAGAGCCTGGATAAATGTTCCATTCCAGCTTTTCCATTCTCTTCCAGCTTTCGCCTGCTGACAAAACAGACCCCTCAACACCCGTCATCAACATCCCCAATTCAGGTATCAGCTCTCAGATCTACACAGTGGGTGTCATCACCTGACACCACCTCATCCTGCTGCCGTGAGATGCCTTCTGCAAAAAGACATTCACCAACGTCAAACTCAGCCGGTCCCAACCGTAGTAAGATCAAAAGAAAAAAAAAAAAAAAAAAAAGTAAAAAAAAAAAAAATAAAAAAAAAAAAGTAAAAAAAATCCCCAAACCCTGGAAAAAACCGATCTTCCAAACTGTCCTGCGAAGGGCGACACCTCTCTGGGCATTATTCGACGGCAGCCACAGGCCAGCGAAGCCGGGGATTTCGGGCGCGGGGCAGCCCGACAGGTGAGGCCGGCGGGCCGCCTCAGCCTCCCGGGGCACCCATGGCCCTGCGCCGCTCCTCGCCTCCTCAGCGCGGCCGGCCGGGCGCCTCCGTTCGCGGCGGGGGCAGGGAGGCGTCGTTGGACGGTGGACTTGCCCGCCGCCCGAGCGCCGGCTTCCCTTATTCTTTTTCTTTTTTCCCCTTTTCTTTTCCTTCCTTTCCCGCCGGCGGCGGCCCCGCGGTGCCTCCCGGCGCGGGCGCGCGGTGCGTTCGTTACCTGGCGCTCGGCGGCGGCTCCTTCCTCACCTGTGCGCGCCTCGGCCAATGGCAGCGCACCTGGCGGCCGCGCCGCCCAATCAGCGCGCGGCTCGTCCCTCTCCCCGCTCCTTTAGTGAAAGAATCCAGCGCCGCTCGGGAAAGTTACCTGTGCGCGCCCGGCCCGGCCGCTCTCCCGTGCCGAGCCCCGCCGGCGCCCCAGCCCCGCCGCTCCCCACATGCCAGGGGGAGGGGGCTCTACCTGTCCTGCCTCGGCGGCTGGCTGTGGAACCGGGAGAGGGGGGGAAGGAAAGCAGAATTACCAGTAGCTCTGGTTCTGCCGTCCCGGGCGTTCACACGCACACCTTCACCTGCACAGACCTGAAAGTCCAGTTCCGCCAGGCAGACGGAGGCACCGGGAAAAGGGGAGAGAGTTCATTGGATCAAACATGTCACAAGAGACGGACAAGTAAGTGATCGCAGGCACGCCGCTGCGCCCGCTGCGCGGGGCGGCCCGCCGGGCTGGCCGTGCTCCCCTTCGCCGGTGGCGGACGCGGACCCGCCGGGACGGCGCTTCTCCCTCTTCTCCCTCCTACAGCGACGCCGGAGCGGGCGCACAGACTCTCCGGAGAGCCCGCGGACGAGGCTGCGGCTCGCGGCCCCGCACGTCGCTCTCCGCCTGGCCGTGGGGCTGCGCGGTTTTTTGTTTAACTCCCCTTTTAGTTTAGGGGTTTTGTTTTTGGGTGTTTTTTTTTGTTTGTTTGTTTATTTGTTTGTGTTGTTTTGGTTTTTCCCCCCCTCACCTCGAGGGTCGCTTTTCGTGAGAGAGAGCTCCTCGCCCTGGAAGAGCGGAGCGGCCTCCGCCCGCCGAAGGCCTCGGACGTAAAGAGCTTCTTGGCTTTTGTGTTGGCGCAACAAAGGGCTTTTATCCCCAAAGGGCCGGGGACGGCCATCTTCCTCCCCTGGGCTGGGGCCGGCGGGGCAGGGGGCCCGGGCGGCGGGAGGAAGGCCCTGCCTCGGCCCAGGTGCTCCCCGGCCGTTCCATGCGGCGCCTTCTGCCTCGCCGTCCTGACCTTGTTTTCCCGGCGGGACGCCCGGGCGGGCCCGCGGCTGCCCGGAGACCGGCGGGGTTAAAAAGTAACTTTCCCAGTAGCGGGGCCGAAGGAGAAGGATGAAGAAGAGAGGGAAGCCTCCCGCTCCTGCCGGCCCCGGGCCCGCCGCAGCCCCTCTCCCGCCCGGCCTGGCGGTAGCGAGGCCGGGACAGAGGGGCGGTGCAGGGGTACTCCCGTTGTCTCCCGGAGCCCCCAACCGAGATTCTGGGTCCCCCCCGAGACCCGCAGGACCGCGGTGGGCTCGGTGTCCCCGGGACCGGGAGCACCGCCAGGAGCCGTCGGTGGGCGCGGAGGCCGCGGCGTGCGCCGCTCCTGCCGCCCCGGCTCCGGCAGCGCCCGGTGCCCAGCGGCCCAGGCCGGGGGTGGGTTCCTGAGCCCCGGTACATAACTGGCACGGGCCGTGCCGCGCTCCCGCCATGGCGGCGGGTGGCTCGGCCTGGCGCCCAGAGCCGCCGTGAGGCAGCCAGGCGGGAAGGCCATTTTCCCTGCTCGGGTGATTAGTGTTTCTGCAGGAGGCGGCTGGCGAGAGTTACGGGGTAAGGAAGATGGAGGGCGGGAGGTGGCTGTTTTGTTTTACTGCTGCCCTGGTGCAGGCAGGAGTGCCCCAAACACGGGTGTGAGCTCGGCTACCTTTGGTGTTGCTCAGGTGCTAGCCCTGGTTGGGCTGCCCAGAGCCTTTGTGCCAAAGGAGGTGGAGAGGAGGAGCCTGATGTTGGAGGGAGGCTTGGTGACAACCTGCCTGTCAAAGAGTGAAAGAAGGAGATTACCCGACAAAAGAAAACAGCAGGGTTGGGTCCCCGACAGGGAACAGACAGGATAGGACGGTTTAGAGGGAGAAGAGTAAACAAAAATATTAGGCCTGGCCTTTTCAAACATCAGCTGACAGTGGGATTGTACGAAGGTAGCTACTGACGTGAAATTGAACCGATTTGGGTAGGAGTTGAGAGTGGCATTTAGGAGTTCATTTGAGTTGGGATGGGAACTAATGCCTTAGGTGGCCGGATTAGAGCAGTAAATGATTGAAGTGCAAGGAAGGGAATAACGACAGAGCCCTGAGGGGTGCGGGTGAGTGAAGGAGCAGCTTAAAGAGCAGTCCTTCAGTTGAGAGGGGAACCGAATTAGCTGTGGAAGAGCTGATAAGCAGTGATAGAGGGCATCCCAAAGCAATGGGCAGTTCCAGAACGGCGTGAAGGTGAAAGGGGCCTGTAAGTTACTTCCTGGCTAAGTCTAGTTGCCAGTAGTTCCAGCAGCCAGAAACTAGGCTGCGGCAGATCAAGAGCAGTTAATGGGAGTGGGAGGGGAATATGGAAAGGTGGGGGGGGTGGGGGGTGGTCAGAAGAGCAACTTAGCACCATAGTCGGCTTTGGATCAGAAAAACAATGGAGAGGAAACCTAACTCATGTAAGAAACTAGGGCAAAAGTGGTTTCCCGCTGGGTCTGGGATGCTACTGAGATACTGGACTATCCTTTCCAACAGCAACAGTATGGCAAACGTGTAAACTACTGAGACTGGAGATTAATGCCCTTCATCCCCTGCTCTGTGTAGTGCTGCTGCTGTTACCACTGTGAGGAACTTAAGAGCAGTGCAGAACACACCTCATGTAACAGCACTTGCTCCATTGCAGGTATGCCTGTGATCTGTTTCTGGTTAAGGTTTTTGGAGAATTTATAGGTGATAGGTAAGGGTTTGAAAAGGAAATGAAGAGTAAAGAAATCCCCTGTGCTCTCTATAGACAAGTGTAACATGAGAAGACAAATACATTTGTTTCCAGAAGAGATGACCAGATGGAATGAGATAATAGACTGGTGTGAGGAGTTTGCATGGGAAGGTTTTTGGTGTTTTTTTTGTTTTTTTGTTTTTTTTTTTTTTTTTAGGTTCTAATTATATCCAATTAGAACCTAATCCAGAGAGTACATTATTCTCCTCCACATGGCCTTTCTTTTACTTAAAACCAGATCTTCCCTACAGGCAAGACTGGAGAGTGGAGCTCATTATTTTGAAGTCAGTTAATTTGTCAGAGTCATTGGACATGTTTTTGTGGGGCTTGTGCTACTAAAGTGCTGGTGTGGAGGACTAAGCAGGGGTGGGGATATAAAGTGTGGAAAAATACGTTCTGTGGGACTTGCACCTTGCTGGAGAGGTGGTAGAGCCTTCTGTACCACTACACAGAGCTGCCTGCAGTGTCTGTCTTTGGAGGGAGCAGTGGGGACAGGTTCTGTAGTGCTTTAGGGAGGAAGGTGGACAGTTAGGTGAAAATGCTAAAGTACCAGGTGTTTGATTCTAACGCTAATTGAGGAGCTTCGAAGGGGAGATTATCCTTGAGATAGGTGTACTATCTCCCTGTCTTTCCCTTTAGTCTTTCTAGCTCAACTGGGTCTTTTCTGCTTGTTTCCACAAACTCTGGGGTCAGGAGAGATAAGGCATGATTGCACATGCATTTTTCAGAGGTAATACCGACTGAAGCAGGCTATGGCCACTTGTTTCTACCTCTGTTCCAACCTCTCAGCTGTGTCAGTAGAGCTGTTGTGCAGCTGGAGAACTGGCTCAGAGTTGGTGTTATTTTTGACATCCATTTTTCATTGGTCTAGGTTCATATGCAGCAGGGGTGAAAGCAAATGACAGGTGTTAAGAAAATAACTGTTCAAACTATTTCTGAAAGGAAATGCATGTCCCTCCCACTCTGAGTGTTTTCTGGGTCTGTGCTGCTTCCATTATTATCCAGTTTCCAGATCCTTTGAGGGGAACCGGGGCATTGATGAAGGCTGAGGAACACGGGGTGGGAAGGATGGAGCATCCCTTTTGCAAGGTGAAAAGATTATTCTAGGGTGCACTTCTGCATTTATAGGCTAAAGTTGTTCTTTAGTAGCATACAAAAAAAGTGATCAACACAAAACTCCAGAGTCACTGCTCTAGTGCATTAGTGGAGCAAATCAGTGAGTTTCCTACTTGTGAGACTTAACTGGGTTTTAGAAATTGACAGCACTTCTGTGAATGAGGAGCAGCAATTGTACAACCATTTGGGATCTGTCTTGTAAATGCCACAGTTGTGTCCCTGCTGCTCCTGGAGTTGTGTGAAGGCCCAGGTGTGCTGGGATAGTGGTTGCAGGAAGGGCAGGCTGGTGGCAGGCCCCAGCACACTGCTGCCCGGGCTCTCTGCGGGCTGCCCGGGCTCTCTGCTGGCTGCGCAGCTGCCTGCCTGCCCCCGGCCAGCCTCCCAACAGCCCAGGCTGTGCAGAGCTGCTCAGGACACCCGGTAGCTGGGGCTGGGGCATGCTCAGGCTGCCCACGCAAAGGAGGGTTTGGGGCAGCCTGGGTCTGCAGCAGAGCGTGTGCTTTAAGTAAATAACTGAGTGGAGAGCAAACCCGTAGGTGGGAATGGGTTCAGACCTGTTCCCATGTGTCAGTGGAGGCATGTTCGCATCCAGCTTGCTGCTTGGTAGTGTATGTGGCAGAAGTTGAAATTGGGCTCTTCACAGCGTAATTTTGATTTACTGTTTTCTCCTCAGTGTGTAAATTTACTGCCTTCATCGTATTTAACTTAAGCATCTAATGCTGTAACAGAAAGGGTGTTTGTCATTTACAATGTGATTCTGTGTTTTGTTCTTAATTTTTTCTTTGAGAGTCAAACACGTTTTCCATCAGCAGATATTAAGTAGCAATTAGGTGACAAATCGATTATTTTTTTTTCCCCACAGCCAATTGTCTGAATAGGGCATCCAGTGAGATATTAATTTTCCAAAGTGTTACTCATCTGGGAATGAATGGAAAAGCAGGAACTAGATGTGTTTAGTTCTTGTGCTTTTCGAATGCCAGACATACTGTCACAGATGTTCCCTAGAAAACCATTTCTGGGCAAGGAAGGTGAAAAATAGCACTTGCAACCATAAGCTTAGCTAAGAGGAGTAAGAGTATCAAATGGTTAGGACTTGCTGTTTACACTACTGTCTCTCTGGCACTGGAGTCTGAGACCAGACTGAAGATCAAAGCCGAAGAGGAGGGAGGGGATTTTCCCAGGTCGCTTTAAGTTGATTGTAATGGTCACATAACGTGTTCCCTGTGGAAGGGTCATCAGGGACATCATTGTCCCTGTTTTGGCTGGGACATCTGAAGGGGAAATGATATTACACCAGTTGACATTTGTTGCCGAACATTTTCACAAATATTAATCCAGTGCAGTGGTTACCTTAAGTATTTTTTAATTAGGAAGCAGCCAATTAAGCTGCTGTTCTTTGTACACACACAAAATTGCACTTTCAAATGCTGATCTAGGAATTAATCCTGGGGTAAATCTTCATTAGCTTTTTGATCAGTTATTGGGACAGTACTAGCTAGTTATAAGAAGTAATTATTTCAGAC